TTCCCTCGGTAAAGAAATGAATGGGCTAATCACGAGATCTCAATGATTATCGGGAAGTGATCCGAAAAATGGGCAGGGTTTTTTTAATGAACTCCCAAAGTGATTCCATTCATTGCCTAAAGCGAACCATTTTTTTAATTACGCAAGGTACGCGATTAGGAATACCGAAATCTTGCGATTCGTTCAACAAGAGATTCTTTCTAAACTTGTTTGCTCTGGAGAACTTGTTGATTTCAAGAATCTTCCTCTTTCTTGTTCATTGTCCGCTTCACGAGTTGCTCCGATAATCGAGAACCTGATTCAATTGCGGCGGTTTATGTGCTGTGCGACCTCAAGAGGAGGCTTTGGAGATCCCGACAATGCAAGATTCCCAATTTTTTTGACGAACAAGGAATTTGGTAACATATGATAAGCCGATGTCGACGACAATAAACAAGAAGTCAAGCAGGTCAATATCGAACTTTTGGAAATCTCGACTTCTGATCAATGGTCACGTAAGCGCACACACGAACACACGCACAAGTGAATAAATAATACTTGGTTATGCTTAGTTCATCAGCGTAAACATGATCTTTCAAAACAGGACACAAAAACTAGATGTTAATATGCAAGCAATGCGCATGCGTCCACAATGAAAATCCTCTGGGAATACACATTCTGCAATAAGTGCATTTATGGACTTGCGCTTACCATACACGTAAAAAATAGGGTTGAAAAAGCGAAGGAAAGGTATCCCCATTTATTCGAAGGAAATTGACGAATCCGTATTCCATTCACAAAATGGGATGATGACGCCTTGCCATTGGTTCAAACAAGAAAAACATCGGATATTAGCATGCACCATTTTTGGACAACGCAAAATGGAAATCGAATCACGACGATAATGAACGACCAGAACATCTAGAAGTGAAAATTGCGCATGAATAAGTTTTGATCACAGGAAAAGGATGCAACAACGTCAAGATTAGAAAACGCGTCGCTTTTTTTCTTTCACTAAATCTGTTATGTACATGAATCGAGCAATGGTAATGTGTATGTAAACATGTGTTTCTGACACTCGTGGCGTGATGCATGCAAGAATCCCTTCATTACCATTGCTCCAACTGCACCGATTCTAGAGAGTTCTGATAAGCAAGAAATGAAGACATCTCGTATGACTAAGCACCGATGACTATTCTACGCGCTCACCCAAAATTCCTTCGCCACAGGTAAAAAAAACTCTAGTTCTCCATATTTCGCATGGGCATGCCTAGACAACAATATATTACATTGTTTTGCTCTCATGCACGAATCCATGCATCATGACACATTGTGATCCGAGGGGTTTCCATATCAATGAAACCTTGTGTTCATTACAAAAAATAAGGTGTGCCAAACCTCAACCACAATCGTCAGAATTGGGTAAAAGGTGTACGATCCTCCCCACGAACGTACCGTGTACACCGTACACGCCACTCTTTTATGCTTATTACTTTTTTAAGGAATAGTTCTTTATTGAACCCTAATCCAGAAATTTGATAATTGTTGAATAGGCACGTACGTCAGCATGCGGCTTATGAATGACAATCTCCGATAATTACTGATGTGGCATTTTCGAGCGAGCGAATGAACCTTAACAACTAAAGTCACTGGGTAAGAGCAAGTATTCGTTGATGGTTTTAATCGCAAGTTTTCTCCCACCGTCCATCACCTCCGATTTCGCACCGTCACCGTTCATTAGTCTGACAGACAGACAGATTGCATGTATTATCATTACATCACCAATCAATAGCACAAACAAAGTCAGATCACAAATTTATGTTGAGATGGACCATTGGCCTGTCATTATTATCTTATTAATCATTTGTGGAATCGATATCACCTTACCGTAGTAGAAGTTTTGGAGAACAAACCATATGCAAAAGGATAAATAAAATGGGAGCGGTAACATGGTAGTAACGTAACCCAGATGGCTTTCCGATACCCGCATAACCAAAAATGTCGAAGAACAATAAAATTGGTAATTGTAATCGTGAGTGTGTGCGTCAGGGAATCTCGTAGTTTTCTTGTGTGCACGAAGAATCCTTTATTTACATATCCAGGCAAGGTATCTTTTGATGCGATATCAGCACCGAGAACACGTAACGAATGCTCTCGAACAATTTTGCATGTTCAAATTTGGATAATAAATGATCACAATCAAAAATGTTTGCAAGTACACAATCTTGAGTGATCATGGCGTACCGATTATTGTGGTACCTGAGGTGGCTCGGATGTAATCACGTATTTACTATTCTTAAATTTCTATGCTGACCTAAAGGTGGATCAAAAGAAGTCGAGAAAGTTTTGACTATTGTTCCATTTGTCGGTGCGATTGATGGACTTGATAAATTCGGTAATAAAGATCCTGTTAGATGCGCAATTATTAAAACCTCGATGTATAATTTCGCCATTCATTCATCGGTTTTATTGAAACACCTTTATTTGGGTTCTTTAAAAAATCAATGCAGCTATGCCGGATTTTCCTGTTAATGATAAATCGGGTGAATTTGAAAAAAAAAAAAAAAAAAAAAAAAAAAAAAAAGCAATCTGATAATTTGATCCTCCGTTCAAGAAATAGATCACATACAAAGAAGGGAAACAAGATCCTGGATAGGTACACAAAACCGAAAGAAAGGAAATTGTGCTCTCTTCTCTATTATCAATTTTATGAAATGCATCAAAGAACGCTAAATTTTCATCGCTGTTTAATATCACCATTTATGGGAATCGGGAAAACAAATAAACAAATACATAGAATCGTGCGCATAATTTAACGTAGACGAGGATGCGTACCACCTGATTTTACGTGGCTTCTCAGTCATGGCACCCGAAACACGCGAGTTTCTCGGAGTAATAATAGGTGATGTGTTCATTAACGGGAGCATCGTATCATGTCATGTCACCGGACGTAAAAGAAGATGAGGATGATAATCTGATGTAAGACACAGAAAGGTGCATGGATCACGAATTAATGAAAATGATGTGTGACTATGTTTCCATTTATGCGAAACGTAAGCCAGGTCATAAGTAAAAAAAGGGGGGGAATGTTAGGATAAGGACGAAGGAAAAGGGATAAAACCTCGGTAATCACGGATTGTCCATTTAACATTAACTCTGTCAGGTTTCACATTTTTCTCTTCCATTCTTACTAAATACGAAATCGCTTTGTTAAAAAGTTGATGTTTGGAACGTATTGTTTTCCATACATGGAGATCAAATAGGTGAAAGATTTCGTGATTTCTCGGGAGGAAAGATCAAAGTCACAGTATATGCCAAATGGAACGTAGTGCAAACAACAATTTAAATCTGCACAAACCACGAAAAGGAAACCTCTGGGTTTGTTGTTTAAAAAAATTTTTTTTGTAATAAAAATAAAAAAGAACATTCATTTACTCAATGATTACATCACTGTCTTTCCAGAGTTCAGGGATACGTACATGCGCTAACGACGTACGCATACTTGGGACCAATGCAACACTTAAATGATAATTGGGGATCAGATGATCAACTTTAAGAAAATAAATAAACTCGATTTGGTCAAATTGGTTTCATTCACTATTCTTGGATCGTGTATCAATCCTTAAAAAAAACGCAAATTTTCCCTGTGTGCGCTCATACACGCTATGAGATAGACTAAATATTGTTTAAACATTGTTTTTTGGACGCGTCATTGTGCCTATGACCTCACTCTGTTGGTGTCACATGACTCGCTAGACTCTTTGAAGAGCTTGATCTATTGTTGCTATGCATATACTGTACTATTAGAAGTTGCTTTAACGCTCGCTAATTCGGTAATCATGACAATAATAAGAACGCACGAGAGATTACTGTATACCGTATATTTTTAAATATGAACAATATCAAGGCATCATTGATTTGCTTAATATTATCAAGATTACCAAAGATGTCCTTTGATTTATACCCAATTTTTGTTAAAAATTTTTCTTTTTCTATTATATTCACAGTATATACTGTAGATAAATAGATGGTATAAAAGTAATGTTATATTTAATTTGTATATGTATATATATTGTATATTGTATTTATACTGTATATTTTTTGATATTTTATAATGTATTCTTAAAAAATTTTATTTTTATCAAACAATATATTGTCTAATGTACAGTAAATTATCAGATCGACTTGTGATATAATTTGTTTTTTTTTTTTAATAACAATATATTAAAATAATATAACTAATCAAATGAGAAATATTTAAGTTTAGAAATATTATTTAAATCCATGTGATTTGAATTTACAAAACCTATATATAGTGATCTTATTTAAATTCATTGAAATGTTGTAATTTGTTTTAATACATAATTTCGTTTGATATGAATTATTTTTTATTGTTATTGTGAAATCAATTTAAATTAATATATTAATTATTAATTGATTTTATATAATTGTATATTTTAATTCTAAACAATATTTATCAACTTAAACTTAATATTACAAATTGTTACATGATTAATATTATTAATAAAATTTTTTACTTTTGATTGTTTTATTTTTATTTTTATATTTAATTACTTTTATAAATTTCAATATTTATTTTCATATTAACCTTTAAACTTTTGATCAAATTATACTAAAATAATTTATTTTTAGATTAAATATTAAAATATAAATAATTATTTTTAAAAATAAACCAAAAATTTTCAAAATACAAATTTATTATTCTATGATTTAAGATTTACATATTACATGATTTATAATTAATACACATTCAAAAATAATATACATATATACTGTATACTGTATATAAATTAAAATTTTGTTGAAATCAAAAAATTGAATATATTTTTTATCCTAATAAATAATCATTATTTATTTTTACTTTTTATTATTTTTGATAATATATGTTTTGTATTTTTTATATCTTTTATAATTTTGATTTTAAATAAGATTTCTTTATAATTTATATTATTAAATATACTAAAAGTAAAAGTATATAATATTTTTTTATGATTTTGTTTTTAAATAAATATAAAATATATATATTATTATAATATTATAGTATACTTTAAAAATAATCAATTGATTCTTCAATTATATAAATATTTTATATTATTTTATCTTTAGTAAACTATTTAATAATATATCAAAATAATTTTCAATAATATTTTTTTTATAATATTTAATAAAATAATTACTTAAAAATAAAATATACTAATTTAGCAAAAAAAAAATATAATTCACTATTAAATCAAAAACAAATACATATAAAAAGATTATTGTAAATATTTTATTTAATTATATAAAACTAAATAAATAAATATAATATAATTTTTTTATTATATATTGTAAGAGGGACCAAAAAAATTAGATAGATTCAACATATGTCATCCTCGCCCAATTGGGGTTTAATTG